AAGTTTGAGCAGAAAATTAGCCACTAGTATTCAGTTATATCACAGTTATGATCCTACTTGCTAGTCAGTGACAGGTGGTATTAGACATTTTTGCAGTGTAGTGCAGTGATGACACAGTTTGCTCATCACTGCATTACTTTGAGCTCAAAGAGTAAAGCAGTGATGCCATCATCATTAGCTCACAGAATTATGTAGTGATGTTTCTGACTTTATCTCAGAGTAATGCAGTGATGTTTTCATCATTAACTTATATAGTAATCCTGTGATGACCTTATGCACACTTTATTGCCCGTGTGTATGCACACACACACACACACACACACACACACACACACACACACACACACTCACACACACACACACACACACACACACACTAACATCAGCCTGAGTCATGGGTCCTTCCATCCCCCACTCCTTCCCTGTGTTTGCACCTCTTTCTCTTGCAGTACCGGTCATGTTCATACACTGGAAGACTATAATAAGAAAGCACACTCCATAACGAACTACTGCACAGCTCCACCACACAAACAGCTCAGTTGTCAGTGTGGCTTGCACACCAACATGTAAAAGGACATCACTGTATGTTATTCTTTATCTTTGGACATCTGAAGGTCCGTGGATACTATCAGTCTCTGGCACTGAACATTTGCACAGATCTCAAGGATTCTTGCACAGCTCAGATAAAAGGCATATGCGATGTCAAATGAATGCAAAACACTGCTTCTTCCTCTTGACCTCCTCAAAAATATACTCAGGATCTAGAACTAAACGATGTTGTTGGGAAAAGATCAAATGAAAGAATGGTACTTCAGTATATAAACCACTGTATGCACATTCATAAAAAACTGCATGCCAGTTCAAAGAATGAAACGCAGACTATGGACAATGTACCAGCAACAGTTAGGTACTTTTGTTTTTGGGAGCATGCTAGCACCATGTTTTTTTTAAGTACTTCACGGTTCTATGCAAACACCATCTGATACCACCATTGTACTATGTTACCGCCACTTTTGCACGGGTAAACCGAGACTTATCACAGCTAAACGTTCTGGGCTGTTGTTACTAAACGCCTCATTAATTATGCATGCAAGCAGCACTCGGCAACAGTCTCAGAAAGATGAGAGACACTGCTACCGACTCCCGCGAGCACAACCGATCGATCGCGAGGAGACGATCATTTAACACGCGCTCACCGCTGATACCAAATATATCAAAACACAATCTAATCAGCCGGTGTAGCCTGTGCAGACTGATTACTGACCGTCCCCCAGAAATCTGATAACTTTTCAAAACTGAAAAAAAACAAATACGCGTACAGACCCGTGGCAGTACGGGAGCTTTGCTCGCTCCGTCGCTGTCCGCGGTGCTGAACTCAGACCTGCTCCGGTCACCGATGAGAGACACGCACGAACACTACAAGCGCTCATCGACCCGCGGACAGTCGCTTTGATCCTCTCTGATGTCCAGCTGCGTCACGCTCGCGCCAGATCCAGACTCCACAAACGAGCCGTTGGCATCTTGAGGGAACACACTGTCTTTTATAGATCTATCCAAGCAGCGGCATTTCAGGCGATCACGACACTCTGTGTCAGCTATAAACAGCAAGAGAGGACCTGAGAGCACTGGAGAATAATACTCATCGTTACAAAACTTAAAAAGTATCTCGCATCTCTCTTTTATTTGGAGCGCAGCAACACTCGACCACTCGACAACAACAACCTAACGACCCTACTTCTCAGCTAAGCTAGTCACCTAGAATAAATCCCGTACATCTCTACCTGATCGCAGCCTTTAGTTTAGTCAGTGCAGTCCAGATAAATAACATTAGACTGGATTGCAGGTCATTTAGATGATCAGACGAACTGTTCTCTATCTCGACGCTGCGCTGCACTTGTGGCTGCTTCGTTCACTCGCTGTATTGTATGTTTACTTTATTGTATTCTGTGCATTATGGGTTGTGAACACTGGTCATAAACGGTTGTTTTTTAAAAACTGTAACGGCTGTTCTCGATTGTCTGTAACGTCACGTACTGGTCCAGATTTAAACGATCCAAACCGCCGAGATTCAGACGGTGTCATCTATCAAAAACGGGTCGTATCACGCACAGCTGGTACAAACATGATGAATAAAGAAGGGCCGTTTCTCACCTCCGTGGCCATGTTGCCATGCGAGCGCGAGATGCTTGTCCCGGGTGCTGAAACCGTCCGGAGAAACGGGAATGAACGCTTGCGCGCGGGGATGAACGCAGAGGGGGCGGAGCCGGAAACAACCACACAATGTGATGACGCGCGAGGGGAGGAGCAACTGACGCCGCTCTCAAGAATTCTCAACAGCCTCTTCACTAATTACAATTAAATTTGTCAGCTGAAAAAAAAACACACAGCTAAAACCAGCCTAAGCTTCTTTACTTTCAGCTAAAGACTAGCAAACCAGTTGTTTCCCCGTACGTTCACGAAGTCGCGTTCGCCTGGGGAGAAACCGTAACCATAGCAACAATGTCTGCACCGAGCGGCAACCTCGCGCGCTCTCTCTCGTGAAGCCAACACGGAAGTGACTTAAACTGTAATTCGTCGACTGGCCGCTAGAGGCGGGCTGCAAAAGGGAGTCAATCCCATAGACCCCCCCCCCCTGTTAAAATGCCTAACTTTAAAGCAGAAAAAAAAGTTTACAGCCTGGTTCAAAAAATTATTTTGGTCTATATAGCTCATTTTGCCCTTCGTGACAACTATGAGGGGGTGAATTTTTTTATAACTCATCCGTTTAAATTATTTTAAGCCTTAAAGTTGTGCATAATTAAGGGCGTGGCCACTTGAGTGACAGGGGGATTGCCGCTGCTGTCACCGCCGGCGAGCTCGGTGGGCGGGGCTTCAGCAGCCAGCTCCCGCCTCTTTGCCCATTTTCGGTTATCCGCAATATGTCAGAACGAGCGCTTTTCAGTATAAAACGGTCGACAAAACCGCCATTACAACCTTTATTATAGACATTCACATCACAGATATAACCACAAAAACGCAATTGTTTTGTTTAAAATGTATTTAAGGTAAATGACAGTTGGCTAACTGTGTGAGGCGCCAAAATACAGACGGTGGCGCGAAAATTCCCCTCAGAAGTTCCACACGGCTATATTCAAATTTAGATTGTTTATTACTGTAACAAGATTTAACCAAGGAAACATACGGTGTTAAACTATGGATAACTTTTTTTTTATGTTTAAATGACAGTAGTACGACATACATAGCTCTATAACCGTAAACCACTGGCTTTACATTCAACCTTGGCTTAAAGACAAATAAAATGAACATAGCTCATCCTTTCAATAACAAAGCCAACAGGAGAACTCTTGTGAGGATCTGACAGACTAATATAATGGCATTCTTTTGATTAGTATAAATGCTTTCGGAGAACGTTCCAACAACAAACATACATAAATATATAAAGTAAATCTTTTTCCGAGACAAAATTACACAATTATATAACCAAAAATAATGGGTTTTAAGCAGATAAGCAGCTAGCAGAAGGTTCAGTTGTAAAACTGATTAGTTAAAATGGTTAAGAGAGAATTAAAGTGACTCGTTTTCTTAAGTTATTAATGTCAACTAATCAGATTTGACAGTATGTGGAACAATATATAGGAGCCAGCTAAAATGCTCAGATCCACTGGTTTTGGCATCTAAGGCAATAAATAACCAACATCATGTTCATGGTCTTGTTCTCCTCTTTAGGATGATGTGATATGATGATAATAATAACAACAGATAAACAGGGCCCTTGATATTAAACTGATATCTCACCAAGGGCTCATTCTGGAAAGTGATGCCATAATAAGAGTTGATGAAACTACAGTATTTGATTCTGCAGTATAGTGAAATCCAAGTAAACTAATCAATCTTGGCGTGAGGCTTTGATAAACATTAGCGGTGGATGGGAAAAGCAGCATATTCCAAGGAAAAAGTCACCATTAAAGGAGCCCTCACATGTTTTTGACAAGCAAAAACCAATGAGGGACCTCAGGAAGAGAGTTGAGGCAACATAAGCTGCAGGGTTTTGGTCCTCCATGTGAAGTGCTCCACAAAGAAAGAACGAAACCTCAAGAATCGCTGAAGCTTCTTTTACAGGATTGCAATGGTGGAACATCGTTTCATTACTTGGTGCTGAGGAAAGTATTACACATAGTACAAACAAACACAGTCTCTCTCTGGGCCTCAGGAGCTGAAGAATCAAGAGAAAGAAAAAGAACATTGTGTAAAACCATCTTCAATAAAACACTATTTACAAGATTCACATGCTCTTCTCCTACCTGTGGCTCCCATACTGGATCTGAGCACTTTATACGAGCAACAGCGGGAACAAAAACTGACACCACAGTTACTGCAGTTTCTCTGGAAAATGACAATGATCATGAGTGAAACAACATCATACAAGCGGAATAGCATGTTCAACAGGATGAAGCTCAGAGGTCATACCCTTTTCTTTAAAACAGAAAACGCCGAACTGCACTGGAAACAGTTCCCTGTGGAAGGACAAAAAGAAAATATGGGTTTAAAGATATAATATGGATGGCAAAAAGAATGAAGTATAAAGAGATCTATAGTGACCGGTGGTGTTGGCAGGGACTCGCTTGCGAAGTTTCTCAGTGAGTTTGGACACTTTACTGCGAATGGGCTCGTTTCTGCTCAACAGCCCGTTATCAGACACTGTGTCGAACTCAGGAACACCAGAAGACACGTCCTCATCATCCTACCACAGATAAACACATGGAAATACTGAAATAAATGAATTGCATTCATATTTCGAAGAAATGACAAGTGACAGATCTGAACCCATTAGCTCTCATGTTCAGCTCGACACCAAAAGATCTTTCACTTCCACCCTCTCATGACAAAACCTGCACACAACCTCTAAAAACACGTGGACATTTTCCACACATATACATACTGTGTGTGTATATATATATATATATAGGTGAATGACTTGATTTTTCCAAATTGATTTCAAAAATTATTTTGATTTTTAATTTATTTCTTTATTTGATGGTCAAAAACGTCAAGGTAGTATAACTGTATTTAAGTTATAAAAAATATATTTCATATTTTTTAGAATTTGCACATCAAATAGTGTGACCCAAGAAAATGTATATTCATGATTACCTACTCTAATACACTCCAAACTTTCATTGAAAGTGGTATAGCATTTTTCAAAAACATGAACATCGCACATGTGTTTTCGACTAAACTACATTTTTACACCAGATCATCTCGTCATTGACCCATATACACAATTCAGTGCACTCTCCTCATGTGAAGGTGTGTGAAGGTTTTCTCTCTGTGTTAGTTCCGCTCTGTATGTCGAGGGCTTTGGGTTTAGAGATCAGATTCACTGAAGTCATTAGAAACAGATGAATCCCTGCTCCTGTAGCGGCACGTGTGACGACTTCGGTAAATCTGACCCATGTTTGTTGCTGCTGAGCTTTGTTTCCTGCAGTCATCCGATGACTGGTGAGAGGTCTCAGATTTCTGTGCCGTACAGCACTTAACACCATAAAAACACCACAAGCCCTCGAAATACAGGCTCTAGTGTAGGTTGGGCACATTTCAAATAAGTTAATTCAATTCAGATCCCAAACTGAACGTATTCATAAATGTATTTCAGAATTCTGAATACCTCTTAAATGGACAATAAAGTAGCCCATCTCATCACTATGTTTGTTAGTAGACATTCCCAACCCTTTTCATAACAAGACCTCGCAAAGAAATAGTGTGACAATCCACCCTGACCTGAAGGAAGTTCCACCAAGTAGCCATTTCCTGTGACATCACTGTTAATAGAAGCTACCGAAATGAATAAAGGCATGAGGGGGTGTGGTTAGAACACCTAGATCATGATTGACAGGTGTGTGTGGGCACCTTACGGGCTCTCCATCTCCTCAGTTTCTTTGGTAGCAAAAAGGCTACAGGCCACACCTAAATTCAAAACACGGGCCGGACAGTTTTACAACGCTCATGCCACTTATAACAAGATACATTCGATTATTATTCTTGAAGAAGTTAACTATTAGGTCTGGATTTGATCTTGATCCACTGTGCGTCTCGTTTGAGGTTATTTGTAGTTGATGAGATAAATGAAATACATCTTATTTTAAATTCACACCTGAACCTCACATACAGGTGAATCTCACAAGAATATTTCCAGGTCACATTTCACCCCATAATCAAAATAAAATAAATGACATTCTGCTTAAAGACAATGAAGCGTCCATTAAAAAATGATTTAACTTATCTAAATCATTATTTTTCCCCCAGATATCTCTTGACAGGTTTTGTGAGATGCACCCTACTAAAATTAAAACATACATAATCCTGTGCACATGCATTCAGAGCATTTACATTAATGCAAAAACATGCACACGCACATACACACAAAGACAGGACGTTTCTTCACTCATTTGGAGTTACTGTGAATTTACTCAAATATTAAATGTTCTGGGTTACTCTATTACTCACCACTAAAGCCAGAGGAGTTTCCTTGGATAGCAGAGTAAAGGTCAGAGGTCAGACATGTACACATGCACACTAAACCACATGACTAAATCTACTTGGATAGTGAGAAGGCTGATATCTACACTCATAAATACACACGCTATATCTGCACACTCAGCTGTGGTCTAACATTAATGCTATAAGTCTCCACACCACTAGAAGGAGCTACTTACCGGCAGAATAAGATGAGATTCCTTGAGCAGGCAAAGAGCAGAAATGAGAGAACATGTCAGAAAAAGAAACAGACAGACAGATAGACAGACAGAAAAAATAGACAGATAGACAGACAGAAAAAATAGACAGACAGACAGACAGATAAATAAATAGACAGACAGACAGATAAATAAATAGACAGACAGACAGACAGACAGACAGACAGACAGACAAATAGACAGACAGATAAGTAAATAGACAGACAAATAAATAGACAGACAGACAGACAGACAGATAAATAGACAGACAGACAAGTAAATAGACAGATAGACAGACAGACAGACAGACAGATAAATACAGACAGACAGACAGACAGACAGATAAATAAATACAGACAGACAGACAGACAGATAGACAGACAGACAGACAGACAAATAAATAGACAGACAGATAGACAGATAAATAAATAGACAGACAAATAAATAGACAGACAGACAGACAAATAAATAGACAGACAGATAGACAGACAGACAGACAGAGAGATAAATAAATAGACAGACAGACAAAGAGATAAATAGACAGACAGACAGACAGAGAGATAAATAGACAGACAGACAAATAAATAGACAGACAGACAGACAAACAGAGAGATAAATAGACAGACAGACAGACAGACAGACAGAGAGATAAATAGACAGACAGACAGACAAACAGACAGACAGAGAGATAAATAGACAGACAGACAGACAGACAGATAAATAAATAGACAGACAAACAGAGAGATAAATAGACAGACAGACAGACAGAGAGATAAATAGACAGACAGAAAGATTTTTTCTGACCTCAATGGCATCTTTAAACTCATCATCAGGCTCCGCCTCCTCTGCCTCTTCAATGTTGCCGGGAGACTGATCCTGAACAGGAAGCACATTCACAGAATAAGTCAGTCTGGACTGGAAATAGAAATCTGGACAAAGTAGCGCAGACTGAAAAGAATCCATCTGCTGTCTAGATGTGTTTTCTGGTTGTAGCAAGAAACAAGAGTTTGTTTGTTTTAACTCTCTCTCACCTCCACACTGGTCGGAGTGGGCGTGCGTTCTAGCAGGCTTGCCTGATCTGGGTCACATGGTTCAGTTTCCTCCGCAGGCAGGACCCGACTCGGGTGAACAAACTCCTTCAGCTCCAAAAGAACTAAAGGGAATGAGAGAAAGGAAACTGTGTGAGAATGTCTAGCTGAGTGAAACCGAATGGAAATACTGAATCTGTATATATATATATATATATATATATATATACTAATCATTTTAATATCAGCATAAGGTCTGGCCACACGGAAGCAATAACCTTCTGACCAACATGTAAAGTGCTTAGTTCTGCATTTACGCATCACCTGAGGCCGATGTCATGTCTTCACTGACCTCTGCAGAAGTTTCTGTTCCACAGAAAGAGGGCGCTGTTGAGCACAGACAGACTCAAACCCACAGGAACCATGTACAGCAAACAAACCGCCGTCAGGACAGAACCGTAAAACCTCCACACAGAATAACACTCATTACAATCACCTTCACAATCCTTACAGTTAACTGGTATTCTTTGCTTTTATTAGACGTTTTGCATTACAAATTAAAACAAAGATAACCGAAAATAGACCAAAACAACATTAACTGTATGAATAAAATTACATTATACAAAGGGTTTGGACACATTTTTACCAATAAATGTCCATGACTTTTCCATGACATTCTGAGACAACATTCATGACCTAATGTTCCATTTTTTTTTACAAGCACACAGGTAAAATAAGAATAAAAATCTATGTTCAAATTCATCATAGCATATGTTAACTAAAATGAATGACTATTAATGCTACTAATTTGCCTTCGGTTCACTACTGAATTCTATTATACAGAGATTTGTGAAATAAATTTCCATGACTTTTCCAGGTTTTCCATGACTGTACGAACCCTGTGTATGTGTAAATTACAGTTGGTGTCCTTCCGTTATCATTAAGGTTAGTATATAATCTTTTACAAAAATGTACCATGGTAACCATAATTTCTGCCAAAATACCATAGAGTCATTACGTGTCAAATCAACCAAATCAGAAAATTCCCTGCCTACGTTTTTGATTTTGTTCATATTTTATCTGAAGAAAGACATAAATAGAACTTTTTCATATCATATGATTTTCATCATATTATTTAATTATTTTGTTGACAGTGGTAGTTAATACCAAGTTCACTGACGTAACAAAGTAAAAATACCTGTATTGACTATTTTGGCAGAAAGTTTCCACAAAGGAACATCCATATGTACTTCTATGTGCGTGATACTCACATGGAGGACATGGCGTGGCTCTCCCAGTATAACACTTTATACACAGATTCTGCATACACACACGCCAGGGTCAAAAGCTCATCTATTCGTTTCAGCCTGTAACACACACAAGCCTTCATCTCTTTACCATGGTAACCATAATTTCTGCCAAAATACCATAGAGTCATTACGTGTCAAATCAACCAAATTTCATAAAATTCCCTACCTACGTTTTTGATTTTGTTCATATTTTATCTGAAGAAAGACATAAATAGAACTTTTTCATATCATATGATTTTCATCATATTATTTAATTATTTTGTTGACAGTGGTAGTTAATACCAAGTTCACTGACGTAACAAAGTAAAAATACCTGTATTGACTATTTTGGCAGAAAGTTTCCACAAAGGAACATCCATATGTACTTCTATGTGCGTGATACTCACATGGAGGACATGGCGTGGCTCTCCCAGTATAACACTTTATACACAGATTCTGCATACACACACGCCAGGGTCAAAAGCTCATCTATTCGTTTCAGCCTGTAACACACACAAGCCTTCATCTCTCAGTCTCAGCGCTGATCTCATCATTCAAACATCACCATCTCGTCCACTCACATGTCCTTGACCTCTAGCATGGCCTCCTGTTTGCTCATGTGGACCGTCTGCAGGTCTCGCCGCTGCACCGCAAAGTGTTTCTTCTTCTGAACCTCCATCTCACTGCTCGTGCCCTGGCAACGGTTGCCAAGGTAACCCAGCACAGCCGGAGCGGAGACGGCAAGCAGCAGCAGAGTGACCCAAGCGCCTGAGGACATTTTTAACCCAGGAGACACTCAGTTATCCCTTAATGCATTATAGTACATCTGTATACAATATATATGCACAGATAGACACGTCATCTTCTCGTATCTCACCTTCACTCAAAGTGAGGAAGAGGATGTTGAGCAGAACGCAGCTGAACAGGGAGCACAGCGGCATCCTCCACCTAAAAATAAAAGAGCTGAATACTGGAGACACGCAGGCAAGCAGGATCAATAATTCAGAGATGCGTTTAGTAACCGGCTTGGAGTAAAAACAAAAGCCTTCTCATGAGAGCCACATGATACAGTCACCTGGCAGAAGCAGTTCTGATTATTATGGGATGTCTCTCACCCGAGCAGGTACCGCAGCACCTCCAGCGAGTCTGTGACGGGCTCCAGGAAGATGGCCATCCGCTTGAAGCAGATCACCATGTTCAGCAGGTCAAAGGTCAGCACTCTGGGGCTGCCCAGGTCAGAGGTGCTGTCTGTGGAGGACGCGTCTTTAGCGGGCAGCTGGGTCAGTTCAGCCCGGTCGCCGCTCGCCTGTGTGGGGTCCTGAGGAGGGGAGGCAGTGCACTGCATGCTGGGAAATCAGAGATCATGATTGTGAGGGTTCAAAGACTGTGTTTATCTCTATGCGACAGTCTCTCATCTGTTAAATCTGAAGCCTGGCAGTGTATTCAAAGGCTTTGATCATTTAATCAGAATCAATGAATCAGCAGATCTGTATAACAAAGCATCCTGATCTATTAAAAACACAACAGATGTTACAGTCAATTCAATGGATGCTTAACAGATTTTATAAACACACATGATGACCACTTTTATCATTAGAACACATTCAATTCTTAGTCATGACAGTAAAAAACTAATATTAATAGAGAAACATGAAACACTGCCATATAAACATCAACCAGAAGAAAACACTCAAACACAGCAGACTCAACGTACCTTTTAATCCTTTAAACAGCGTCTTCTGCCGCTACAGAGTCATTAAGAGGTCTTCAATGTGCACGAAGATCACTACATTTGAGAATAATCCACTTAAAACGATATCAAAACGCCGAGTTATCGTTTATGTCTAGCGACTTCTGCTTCCGCGATCCACAGGCCGATGTGTGGATGCCAGAGCGCGATGAGGAGTGAGTGCCAGGAAGAGCAGAGGAGCGCCGATCACATCGATGTGACAAACAAAACACAGACATGACTGCCAGCTGTTTTGCCATTTTAATCTAGTAGTGCCATTTGTACATATCGTCTTTTTTCATAGCTAAAGGAAAAAAGTTCACAAAAATATTTTTATGCCGATTGTTTTTGTAGCTTAATTATCATTATTTGACTGTGCTTGCTGGGATCTTGAAATAATAATGCCCTTCATTTGATCAACTTAATGCATAATATCACTGGTAAATTTACACAAACACTCACTCACACACACTCTTATTTTCACGACTTTAGTCATTTGTAATTTTACTACAACCAAGATAAATAATCATTTTAATTTGATCACAGACCTTGATGAAGAACCAATAAATGTTTAGTACAGTGTTTACCTAGAGCTAAGATCAGAGTGTCCTCTAAAGTTATGAGGAGGTTCTAGTGACTGGTCACTCCTCACGGACACACAGCTGGCTTCAGATGACTTTGATCTTTGCATCTGAACTGAACTGAAACCAAACATGAAGCAAAGTCAGAATCAGACACTGTGATAATGAATTGTTCTGCCATAAGTCATTCTCAGGAAATCACTAAATTGTGCCATTTGTGCATAAAAATAATATTGTACCAACTTTTAATTCTTCACTTAAAATACCACATTTTAAATATGAGGATGCACATTGTGGTGGTATCGCACAGCTTCCTGGTGCCTTGGTAAAATCACCAATATTATTTTATTAATATTAATCACCCAAGACTTTCAAAACAAATTGTCAACACTTTTACACAGCTCAAGTTTTGAGGTTGAATGTAAGATCAAAAATGGCAAATAATGGCCTTAACCAGAGTTGGGACTTTCAAGTCACAAGCAAGTCTTCAAGTCATCTCCCAAGTCCTCAAAGAGTTAAAGTTAATGAGGTAATTAAGTGACTAATTAAATGATGATTGTGCATTAGTGATGAACAGCTGCAGTTATTGAGAATTACAGAGGATCAGATGCTGATGTTTTATTGGTTAAAATGACTCAGTTGATTTCATCTAAGGCTATGGCTGAAGTCAGATGTAGTTCTTGTGTTTCTCTTTTCTTCAATGATGTTGATTGTTAACAGCAGGTGTTCATCACTAATGCACAATCATCATTTAATTAGTCACTTAATTATCTCATTAACTTTAACTCTTTGAGGACTTGGGAGATGACTTGAAGACTTGCAAGTCCCACCTCTGGCCTTAACTAGTAATTATCATTGCACTGGACCACATTAATATTTACAGTCAGTATTCTTGTAGTCTGTGCCTCAAAAACAACAACAACAATAAAGGCAGTTTTATATTGTGCTGTTAAATACGTAAGAGAAAACTAAATCTCTGAACCATGTGATAAACTCCCGTTCAGAAGCTTAATATCTAAAAACCAAACTACTGCTTTTAAAAAGAAGATTGTCACAAAATGACATCCCTTAATTAACACCAACTATCTATATACTTTCTAACACAAAGTCTTGGTCTTCTGAATGCAAGAGAGACCCCATCAATAGCCCAAAGGTTTATATTCTCGTGCACAACTGACTGTGGGCCATGGCTTTTGATAACGTCTCTAAGAGAGAATGGCAATGAAAACAACAAAAGTGGATGTGCCAAGCTTTCAGAAGGTACCCGTGTTTGTACCATAGACTGTAAAAAAGTAGTTTGTACGGTTTGGTACTGTACTAGAGTTAAAGACGCAGTTGTGTGAAGTGATAGTATGTCCCAAAGCTTGCCTACTCTTCTACTACACACTCAAAAGTGTGTACTTTAATCTTCACCAAAGAGTACATACTTTAAGGGCGTAGTATAAGTAGGCACAGTGGGACACAGCGTTACACACATAGCGGAGAGATGTGATTGGCTGGAAGGGGCTTGGAGGCGGGCTCAATCGTCTTTTCCAGGCTTCTCATTGGTCAGAGCGGTACAGTAGGTTACGAGTCGGAGCGTTAAACCTCTCTGTCCGTTAAGACTGAGAAGAGCAGCCAGGCTGCCTACTACACCGTTCTGCTGCTCTCCCGAAAGCGACTCCAAACATCTAACATGCAAACGATACAAAGACACTAGTTCACACAGAAAAGGTGAGTCGATTTCTGCATAATTCTGTCGTTGATATCCATTTCATTCGTTTTTTCCCCTGGAGCGCACCTAGAAACACGATCGCGCTTTGCCTTTGTGATCCTTCATGTCGTCCCTCATAACCGAGGATGTTATTCTTGAATAAATGCTTTTTAACCGTAGTTATTTGCTGTAATTCGAGTGGAAGTGTCCGATGTGTTCTCACTGCGGATGTTCGTGCGTCACTCTCGTGGCGTCACGTGACTCCTGGCGCTGCAAACAAACCAAATCAGTCGCGACGAAATCCCGTCTGTGTTTAGTATTATTTTTTAAAATATTTTTTTAAATATCCGAGAAACGAAACCAAATGATGATTGTGCATTAGTGATGAACAGCTGCAGTTATTGAGAATTACAGAGGATCAGATGCTGATGTTTTATTGGTTAAAATGACTCAGTTGATTTCATCTAAGGCTATGGCTGAAGTCAGATGTAGTTCTTGTGTTTCTCTTTTCTTCAATGATGTTGATTGTTAACAGCAGGTGTTCATCACTAATGCACAATCATCATTTAATTAGTCACTTAATTATCTCATTAACTTTAACTCTTTGAGGACTTGGGAGATGACTTGAAGACTTGCAAGTCCCACCTCTGGCCTTAACTAGTAATTATCATTGCACTGGACCACATTAATATTTACAGTCAGTATTCCTGTAGTCTGTGCCCCAAAAACAACAACAACAATAAAAGCAGTTTTATATTGTGCTGTTAAATACGTAAGAGAAAACTAAATCTCTGAACCATGTGATAAACTCCCGTTCAGAAGCTTAATATCTAAAAACCAAACTACTGCTTTTAAAAAGAAGATTGTCACAAAATGACATCCCTTAATTAACACCAACTATCTATATACTTTCTAACACAAAGTCTTGGTCTTCTGAATGCAAGAGAGACCCCATCAATAGCCCAAAGGTTTATATTCTCGTGCACAACTGACTGTGGGCCATGGCTTTTGATAACGTCTCTAAGAGAGAATGGCAATGAAAACAACAAAAGTGGATGTGCCAAGCTTTCAGAAGGTACCCGTGTTTGTACCATAGACTGTAAAAAAGTAGTTTGTACGGTTTGGTACTGTACTAGAGTTAAAGACGCAGTTGTGTGAAGTGATAGTATGTCCCAAAGCTTGCCTACTCTTCTACTACACACTCAAAAGTGTGTACTTTAATCTTCACCAAAGAGTACATACTTTAAGGGCGTAGTATAAGTAGGCACAGTGGGACACAGCGTTACACACATAGCGGAGAGATGTGATTGGCTGGAAGGGGCTTGGAGGCGGGCTCAATCGTCTTTTCCAGGCTTCTCATTGGTCAGAGCGGTACAGTAGGTTACGAGTCGGAGCGTTAAACCTCTCTGTCCGTTAAGACTGAGAAGAGCAGCCAGGCTGCCTACTACACCGTTCTGCTGCTCTCCCGAAAGCGACTCCAAACATCTAACATGCAAACGATACAAAGACACTAGTTCACACAGAAAAGGTGAGTCGATTTCTGCATAATTCTGTCGTTGATATCCATTTCATTCGTTTTTTCCCCTGGAGCGCACCTAGAAACACGATCGCGCTTTGCCTTTGTGATCCTTCATGTCGTCCCTCATAACCGAGGATGTTATTCTTGAATAAATGCTTTTTAACCGTAGTTATTTGCTGTAATTCGAGTGGAAGTGTCCGATGTGTTCTCACTGCGGATGTTCGTGCGTCACTCTCGTGGCGTCACGTGACTCCTGGCGCTGCAAACAAACCAAATCAGTCGCGACGAAATCCCGTCTGTGTTTAGTATTATTTTTTAAAATATTTTTTTAAATATCCGAGAAACGAAACCAAAAAGTACATGTAGTAATATTTATCTAAAAAAAACTCCTGACATTTTTTTTTTTATTTAGTTTACATTATTTTTTTAATTCGACGCCGAGTGACGCAATACGATCGTTTGTTACGCACAGTTAGTTACGCAGCAATGATTGTTTATGTAAATAGCATACTCGTGCTCAACTGGATGGGACTGGCAATTTCGCTGCATAATGCAAAATAGTATGCATTGCACACACTGTACAGTGCACATAGTATTGTGTTCTGAACACAGCCACTCTGTACTATTGCTAGGATCTGGGGGCCAAGGCTTGGCTTCTAATAGATGTCAAAACTTGTGACCAAAAATCCTCTTTCTACATTAAATGCCATTCAAAATTATCCTTGCATTCTGACTTGATTAAACATTTTGCAAGCAACATAAACATCCCAATAAATTAATTACGTTACAGCAGATGTTTTTACCAATGATTGCCAGTTTTAGGATGCTTAAAAGCGTCATATAGACTTGTTTTTCCCTGCTTAGGCTGATGTAACAGTGGTGACACTGACAACTAATAGCCTTTGACTATAGAGGTCATTAGGCTAATGTCTGAACCTGCTGTGCTCTTTAAATACTCTTTTCCATTGACGTACCAACTTAAGGCAGGACACCACAGGTTGATTAATCACAATAAATTAAGACAATTGTTTTGTATTACAAGTTTTCTGATGTGTTCCGTTTAAATATGCAAATTAGATACTTAAATATGCACTCATTTGCATACACTTCCAGAACAGAAATATGAACACTGGATAAAGCCGGGGTTAAAAATTCTTGTTTTGTTGACATATTAGAGTTAGGGTAAATGTTTCTCTTTTTTTGATCATAATAAGAAAATTGTCTACACCCCAGAATTTTTTTTTTTTTTCACTCTATTTAGGAATAAAATGATATAAATAAGAAGTATGATGTATGAACAAACCCCTCAGTAAAAACCTTCAGAATATAGATAGGAATACAACTGAAGTTTGTTCTTGATATATATTCGGCCTGATATATATTGTAATTTAAATCTATAGACACACAAGTAAATAAAGTATAATAATATAAAGCCTTAAATGTGTAACTTGCATGTTTTCTTTCCACTAGTCTGAAAGAAAACAAATAGCCCAAAATTGATCAGTGCAGAAAGATTTTACCTGTAGTGTCTTGCCTTAAACCACTATTAGTTTGTGTGTGTGTATATATATGACTTTTCTAGCAGTTCCCTCTTTAGCACAGGAAATATATTTGCTTAGAAATTCAGAACATCTTTGCAAACATGTGCAAAACTAGTTTATACAAAATTGCTGGTCATCATCTCAGAAGTGCTACAAAATTTTATGACCCTCACCTCTTTCTCCGCAGATGGAGGACGTGGCCTCAGCCCCTGTTCTCGCAGGTTCGTCCCAGCCCACGTTTTCCCGCCCGTCGGCCTCCGAGCGTCGGAAACGCAAGTCTGGCACCGCCAACATCTTTCAGGGAGTAAACCTGAGGCAGCTC